CTTTAAAAGTTTCTTGCTCTAAATGTTCAGGGCTGCATTTGGGTCCTGAATATCTGAATGTGGCCTAGACTTTCAATTGGCTATGAACTGTGTCTGAGTGGTCATCTCTGGGGTCATCCTTGTGATAGTCAACCTTTATTCCTCCAGGGGCATCTGTTCTAGGAAACAGGAGTTCACACAGAACAAACGCTTAACACTGTATGTAATTTAAGCCATTAACATATATGCGCAGATGCCTTCCTACAATCAGAAGTACCATGTGCCCTTACAATATAGAATGTACAGTGTCTCCATCCATGCCTCCTGTCCCATTATTTATGTTGGTTTTGCTTCCTTTAACAATTCTCTATACTTCATTGTCTGCTGAAAATAAGCTCCAAACAAACTACCTCAAAGCATCCCCCCGCCAGCTTTATGGTACTGAGGAATGGACGCAATCCTTTCTAATTAAAAACAAAAACAAGAATAAACCCCCCACAAGTGGCACATACCTGTAATCCCAGGAATTCAAGGCTGCAGCTATATAATGAGTTTGAGGCTAGCCCAGGCTATATGATACCTTCTCAGGAAAAAAACAAAAAACAAAAGAACAAAACTATAGGTTTTATCTGAAATAATCCACACTAATTAAACCAATTAAGAATATGAATCCTGAGGCTGAAGAGATGGCTCAGGGGTTAAGAGCACTGACTGTTCTTCTAGAGGGTCCGGGTTCAATTCCCAGCAACCACTTAGCAGCTCACAGCAGTCTAACTCCAGTTCCAGGGGACCCAACACCCTTACACAGACATGCATGCAGGCAAAACACCAATGCACATAAAAAAAGAAATGAAAAGAAAAAGAATATGAGTCATTTAATAATGGCCAGACCAAGAGTAAACTAACACCTCCAAAATGTGTCGTGGTGCCAAAGCTCAAGATTACAGTTTTTTAAAAAGACAAAACCCATAAAAACTATAATTATGTTGGTGTTCAAGGAGGTGGAGGGTGGAATAACCTTGTAACATCGGTGTTTTTACAGAACTTAGCCATATTTTTTAGATACAATTATTTTTGTATTTAGGTTTCCTCCGGTTAGTTTTATTTTTTAGTTCACATAAGCATTAACTATTTTGGTAAATATATCTGGACCATGGTCAGGGTCACAGACAGTCCCAAAGTGTTGCCAGGGTAGATGTGCCTATAGGGGTGAGTGTGTGCAGGAGGAGGCTATCTAAGCAGATGCAAAATAGAGTCAGAACAAGATGGCATTACCTGAGTTACTTCATATCACCATTCAGGTCTGATGAAACCTGCAGATGACTGCCACTGGAAAAGCAGTTCCACCGGTGCAACCTTTAATCCCAGCACTCAGGAGGCAGAGGCAGGAGGATCTCTGAGTTTGAGGCTGGCCTGATCTGCAAAGTGAGTTGTAGAACAGCCAGAGCTACATAGAGAAACCCAGGCTCAAAAAAAAAAAAAAAGCAACAACAAGCAGTTCAAACTGGCTTAGTGCTAGCATTTAATATTAGCACTAGGGAGGCAAAGAAAGGCAGATCTCTCTTCCTTATTGATCTTGCCCATTTTCTGTTAGCAAACTATAAGGGACCCAATATCCTGGGGGTGGGGGACGGGGTGGAGCAAGGAACAGCTAGCTTCTCCTTAAGGAGCCAGCCCATTTTCCATATTGACGCAACTGCCCCTGACCATCATTCACCCAGTACACACATTAAAAAAATGCATGCTTGCATTCCCAGTATGGGAGAAGTTGGGGATAAGTAAGCAGCCAGTCAAACAACCTAAGCAGTGAGCCCTAGGACAATGAGAGACCCCTATCTCACAACACAAGGTAGAATATTGCCGGGCGTTGGTGGCGCACACCTTTAATCCCAGCACTCGGGAGGCAGAGGCAGGCGGATGTCTGTGAGTTCGAGGCCAGCCTGGACTACAGAGCGAGTTCCAGGACAGCCTCCAAAACAATACAGAGAAACCCTGTCTCAGAAAACCAAAAAAAAAAAAAAAAAAAGATAGGCCTATCAGTCAAGGCCTGGACCTAGGACAATGAGAGACCCCCTATCTCACAAAACAAAGAACATTAGCCTATCAGTCAATGCTTGGAACTGGCTTATTATTATTATGTGGTGATGCATCTGTTGCTGGTTCAATTGGTGGAGTTTTAATTTGTAAGGCTTGTATTACTAAGCTAAAAGCATGTGAGCCTCACCTTTGACCAGCTCTGAATTAAATTGTAGGATATCTGATTTGGCTCTTCAGATTGAAACCAGTGAAAGTATCCAAACCAACTTTGAATCTAAGTATGTAACTTTTTGAAAATGTAGTTCCATTTTATGGATGCATGAATATAATTTATCATGTACTAGCATTAAAATGCTGTGTTCCTATAATGATGTGACCTTCCCGTTGTATTCTCTAGTGGTTTGCTTATAGAATAGTAAGTAATCTGGAAGAGCACTGTGCTTTCCTACATGTGGTGTTTACTCTGTAATTAAAGTTCAGAATTGCTTTTGTTTTGTTTTGTTTTTGTTTTTGTTTTTTCGAGACAGGGTTTCCCTGTGGCTTTGGAGGCTGTCCTGGAACTCGCTCAGTAGACCAGGCTGGTCTCGAACTCACAGAGATCTGCCTGCCTCTGCCTCCTGAGTGCTGGGATTAAAGGTATGCGCCACCAACGCCCGGCCAAGAATTGCTTTTTTGTTTTGTTTTTGATGCCAGAACATTTATTTTTATGACGAATTGCAACCCTCAAGATGAACTGCATGCTGCAGCAGCTGCCCTCTTGGGTTTAGGTGTTGTCCCTTCATGGAATCCGTGTCTGAATCTTCAATAGATAATTTTTAGGTGCCCCATCCACCCAGTCAGTCCTGGTAGTGTTTTATCTCTTAGCCTTGGCAGGGCAGCCACATTTGCCACAGGTCGACTTCTGAAGGTGGTAGGCCTTAGAGTCACGGCGGCGGCACAATGTGTGTGTCTTATAGCAAGGTTTTCCAATGGATGACTTTCCTTTTGTCATCTTGCTTCTGTCACTAAGGCCAAACTGGAAAAGTCCGAATTCCTTTTTTTGTTTGTTTGGTTTTTTTTTTTTTTTTTTTTGGCCCTAGGTGTCGTAGAAATAGCTTTGTAGACCAGGCTGGCCTCGAACTCACAGAGATCCACCTGCTTCTACCTCCCAAGTGCTGGGATTAAAGGTATGTGCCACCATTGCCCGACATTTTTAAATGTACATTTGGGTTTAGCCTGCATGTATGTCTATAGTTACATACAATTGTGAGCTCCTGTGTGGGTGCTGGAAATTGAATTCGGGTCCTTTGAGGCGTGTGCTACCACCGCTCCGAATTCGGGTCCTTTGAAAGAGCAGCCATTGCTCTTAGCTGCTGAGTCATGTCTCCAGTCCCCAGAATTCCGTTTTTGTCCTTGGGCACGAGGCCACCATAGCAGCGGGATTTTTTTCCTTTGCCATTATTTCCTTTAGGTTCACAGGTGTTATAAGTTGCCTGTGTGTCCCCATCCCCCACTCCCGACTTTTACCCTCAAAGTTGCAGGATTTCCTTCATCTTCCTGGTTCCTAAGAGGAAAAGCAGGACAGGAAGTGATTTGGTTCCTGCAGGCCAGAGCCTTCCTGTGATCCTTCATCCCAAAGCACAGAATTCAAAAACCAGAATTGTCAGCCTCCAAAACAATACAGAGAAACCCTGTCTCGAAAAACCAAAAATAAATAAATAAATAAATAAATAAATAAATAAAAAAACAGAATTGCCTTCTCCATTCTTTTAAGGCAAAATCTCTAGAGTAGCTTCTGCACTAGGTGACTTTAAAGAATATTTCCTGTCTTGGGATGCTCACCCAACAACTTCCTAGGGTTTCCGGGGACTCCTCCGGTGGCTGGCGGCCTCCATTTATGGGTCCCATGGTATCCAATGCTAGGCAGCCACTGCCTTCTCCACAGGGACCCAGTGGCTGTCCTCTGGTTTAGATCAAGCTGACCCTAAAGCAAGGAGGTCAGGGTCCTTGTGCAAGGTCCCCAGAGCTCCTGAGCATCCTTCAGAGCACAGGGGAACTGGCCAGGCCTTTTCCACTCTGTACCTCAGGCTCCCGGGGCAGAGCTGAGGGTGACATACTTCTGCCTTTTAATTGGAAGCACTAAGTCTTTTGTCATTTTGCCCTCAAAGCCATAGGGGGATAGGTGAGAACATGAAGAGACAAGGGGCAAGAGAAGGCAGTGCCACTGTGGCCGGTGACGAGTATCTCCCTAGCGAATGGGACACTCCTATTTTGCCAGGCTGAAAATTCCAGCCTCATGGACTGCCTCACCAAGTTAGTGGGTGGTCAGGATATGAGTCTCTCTCTTGCAGTCTGCTAGTCCTTACACCTGCCCAGTATCTACCTGACTCTAACTGGAGCCTGCCCTTTCCCCTCTGCATCTCTGGAGCAAGCTGGTGGAACGCAGACGGAGCCTTGAGAGTGGACTCAATTCAACTCTACTAGTAGCTCCGTTCAGAATGACCAATAGTACCATCTGGACACCGTCACTGGGATATGAACACTGGAAATTCTTGGGTTCTGGGAAGAATCCAGACCTTTTCATACCCATCTAGTTTAGCTAGAACGTGGGTAAGATCTGACCAAGACAGCGTAATAGGCAGCAGTGGACAGCAACATAGACAGTAAAACCCAGAACCTTCCCACATGGTCTTAGCTAGGTGGGAGGGCCAGATAGAAGTCATGCCTCTCAATGCAGCAGCATATACCTTCATGATATGCCAAGTATTTGCTTTCCTCTAACTAGAACTTGAGGTGTCTCCCTGGAGCCCTGTCCTCATGGAGCTCCAGAATTTGTGGCTGTGGAAGATACCCTCATGACTCTTGACTGACTTGGTTCCACTTTATTTTTACCAAGATAGCTACTACCTACAAAACCCTTTAGCCAGAAATGTTCTTTTCAGTTCTGGGCCAGTCCAATACGACACGGAAGAGGCAGCACAGAGACAGACACAGAGATACATGCGTGAAGTAACAGAATTAGTTTGTACTGCTTTCAATTTAAGAGAACAGACAGCAGCCACAGGCTAAGGGCATTGGCCTGTATAATACACACTCAGCTGCTCAACCAGTGAGCAGGAAAAAAGACAAAACAACTGAAACAAACAAAAACCCAATAGCAAAACCAACTAGGCAGGCTTCAGCGCCCAAGCTCCATGGGGTCGTTCATGCTGTAACTACAAGGTCCTTCTTGTAGGCTATCTGTACAGTGGATGGCAGCTATGGAGGTCTTCTGGTAAGCCAAGCGTTGGTGAGCTGCCCCACAGAGAGGCAGACATCAGGGTGCTGTACAAATCTAGATGCATCACACTGAAAACCTGGTAGGACACAGAAGTAGAAAATGTCTCCACCATTACTAATCCAATTTGTATTAAAATGAAAACTACAACAACATGCAATTGTAATAATTCATTATAGTTCACTAGCTACTACCTCAACATCATCTGTAAATGCAAGACTATGGTGTTAGTTAGCTTTCTAGTACTAGAACAAAGAACTGATGTAATCAACCTGAAAAGAGAAAATGTTCATCTGACTCACAGTTTCCGTAGTTCCAATCCGCTGGTGGCTTGCTCCTGTTGATTTGGGACTATGGTGAGGCAGCACAGCGTGAAAGGCAGCGTTGAACTCATGGCCAAAAGAAGAGAATAGGGTATCACAATCTACTTTCAAGTTTACACTAATGTTCCAGTCCCCACTCCCACACTTCTTTCTGTTTTCTAGATCTCCCAGTAGTGCCTAAGCCGGATGTAGCTGAGGGAGACTTTGAACTCTTGATCTTCCCCTCTCCTTTCCCAAATTCTGAGATTACAGGCATGCACCACCATGCTCAGCAAGTTCACAAATTCTTTACAATTGCCATTCTTTGTCTAATTTTTAAAATTTTTCCAATGCAGATTTTAAAATGCCGCTTTTGTGAAAGAGAGCCTGCAAGATATCTTTTAGAAAGCATGAGGATATGATTTTTTTGGCAAAAAAAAAGTGCTTAAAATTGAAGTCTCTAAACCGGGCGGTGGTGGCGCACGCCTTTAATCCCAGCACTCGGGAGGCAGAGGCAGGTGGATCTCTGTGAGTTCGAGACCAGCCTGGTCTACCGAGCGAGTTCCAGGACAGCCTCCAAAACAATACAGAGAAACCCTGTCTCGGAAAAAAAAAAAAAAAAAAAGGTGTCTTACTACACTGAAGGTTTATAGCTTCAGTCAAAGACAATATCTTCCTATAATATAGTAATTCCTACCTTTTAGAACTGAATAACATCTCTTCAGGAGTGATGTCAGTTACAAAACAGTAACTTCAAAATTTGAAAACATACAAAAGTAGAATCAAAAAAAAAAGTAGTTTTTTGAGTTTACTCTGCAATTTAACGAAGACTGGTCTTGAACCTCTGGTATGTTGCTTTCCAAAAGGATGACCACTGGAAGCCATCACAGACAGCAGAATCTCAACCAACTTGAAAGAGAACAGGCTCAACCAAAGAGAAAACTGTCAACAACTTATCTCAGAGATGAGATGCAACATTCATTAACTTCACAGTTCTTGGAATCCCAAGGAATTTAAAAAGTCAATGTTTTGTATACCATTTTTCCCTATGTGGGATACAGGTATGTCAGAAATAGTACCAATTCTAATGATTCCATGTTTTGGAGAAAAAGCTGCACTTTTGCAGAGGCCTTCTTACTTTCTGTCCCTTCATGCTACCCTTAGCAAGTCACGTTCAGAGGAGGAAGCACGATACTGTAATAAAGGGCCAGCAGCCCATCCTGCAGCCCGGCCTCCCCGACTGCACACTGCACTTCCTGTAGTGTTTGAAAGTTCTCCAGCAACTGACTACCACACATGATGTCTACCCGATAAGCTGCAGCAAGCTCCAGTTTTCTTTTGAGAAACTTTTCTAGATGTCCAATGGTTGCATTTCCTGAGACTCGCACAAACTTCCTTTTCAGTGGCTTAAAATGTTCAATGTCTGCATTAGTGGCCATAGACTCCAGTACTAAAGACATACCAAGTTGCACAGCTTTCTTAGTGTTTCCTTCGCCTGAAGTGCCTGGCTGTGGAACATCAGCAGGTTTTGGTGTTTCTGGACAATTTTCTTTGGAGAATTCTTGTCTTTGCTTTTTTTCTTTTTCCTCTAGGCCTGCCACCAATTTGTACACTATGTTTTGCAAGTGAGGATCCAACCTCAGTTTGTTATGAGGTTTGGCCTCGTGCACCACAATGTTGCATTTTGGACATCTGTTGCTATGTTCAAAATGTTTTATGATGCAGCTTTTACAGAAAGAATGAAGACATTCTGTAATGGTTGCTGCATCTATTAAGTAGCCTTTGCAAATAAAACAGGAGATGTACGGAGTCAGCTGCGAGAGAGGAACAAGGCGCTCCTCCTGGTGAGGAAGCCTGGATCCTGAGCGGCCCAGAGTCCTTGTCTGGCTCTGGGTGGACTGGCCCTGCCTGGCAGCTGAGTGAGCTGTGGCAATTACCTGAGGCGAGGTCTGGAGTGGGGGTGACAAGGCCTTTGCTCCCTCTACTCTGGCTGCATCCACGCTGCCCTCTGGGACCACTAGGTCACTTTCCATGGCTGACTGGGCAGACCACAAACCCGTGGAGGAGAGACAAACCAGGAAGCGAAACCACACGGGCAGGCGAGACCAAGGCGAGGTGAGGCGAGGTGAGGTGACCGAGATGCGAGGCTAGACCGTGTGGCCAGATGAGACCTCGAGGTGAAGACTGTGGCGCTCGGAGACTGGGGAGGTTGAGCACGAAGCCAAGCAGAAGGGAGCAGAGTGGCGACAGGAGGGCGACAATGTCAGGCGCTAAGACCAGAAGGGTAGAGAGGAAGCAAAGCGGGGCAGAGAGGAGCACAGAGGCTAACACACAAGCCACTCGGCAAAGGAAGGAGAACAAGCCTGGCACGAGGGGGGGTAGGCGAGGCAATGTGGGGAGCCAATGAGGACGGTCTGTAGGGCTACTTGGGAAAATCTTGTCTAAGCCAATCACAAGTTGCAATGTTCAGGGCCGGCACCCTCCTTTCTGAAAGGGGAGGTGTTTGTGTGTGCGGGGTGCAGGGGGGGAAGCTGGGTGGAGTGAAGGGAAGCTATGGCCCAGATGTATTGTATGAGAGAAGAATAAATCAAATAAATAAATATAATAAACCCACTAAAGTCTCCTTTCAGCCTAAGATTCTGTTTGCCTCAATTTATGCACACAACTCCGAAATGAATCTCATGTGATGTTACATTAGGAATAGTAATGATTTCCAGGCTGGCAAGATGGGTTAGTGGTTAAGAGCACTGTCTGGCCGAGCGGTGGTGGGGTGGCGCACGCCTTTAATTCCAGCACTCGGGAGGCAGAGGCAGGTGGATCTCTGTGAGTTCAAGACCAGCCTGGACTACAGAGCGAGTTCCAGGACAGCCTCCAAAACTATACAGAGAAATCAGGTCTCGAAAAAACAAAAACAACGACAACAACAAAAACCAAACAAAAAAAGAACACTGTTCTTTCAGGGGACCCAGGTTCAATTTCCAGCACCCACAAGACAGCTCACAACTGTAACTCCAGTTTCAGTACTTTCTCACGGCCAGCCTGGTCACAAAGTGAATTCTAGAATGGCCAGAGCTGTTATATAAAAAGATCTTGTCTTGAACTCCCCTCACCCCAGAATAACTCTAAATAAATAAATCTTTTCAAAAAACCAAACAATCAAAAATAGAAATAATGATTTCTGGTTGCACACAAAATATGTGCTCCTCTGGAGAATCACATTTATCTAAGATTATTGATGTTCCTGTTTTGAAACTTGTCAATTTATTTATTTAGAAGAATGATATATTGGCACATTATGGAAAACTAATTGTTACTTGAGGACTGCCTAAATAATCCTTTTTTTCTTTTTTTGGGGGGGGGGACAGTGTTTTGTTCAGCAGCTCAGGCTAGCCTGGTACTCATTATGTGCTCCAGACTGGCCTTGAACTTGAGGTTCTCCTGCCTCATCCTCCTGTGCTCTAGGATTGACAGGTATGTGCCGCCATACACAACCTTGTTTATTTAATCAGAGCTGTTTTCACTGATTTGTAGACATTTGCTTTTGTTATTAATCATCAGTAACATGGCTTTCAAATACTTTGTCCCAATGTGTAGGTTACATTTTTCATTATCTTCTTTGTGTTCTTGTTTTATTTTGAGACAGAGTCTAGAAATATAGCCCTGGCTGGCCTAGAACTACTAGGCAAAGCCGGGCGTTGGTGGCACACGCCTTTAATCCCAGCACTCGGGAAGCAGAGGCAGGCAGATCTCTGTGAGTTCGAGACCAGCTTGGACTACCAAGCAAGTTCCAGGACAGCCTCCAAAGCCACAGAGAAACCCTGTGTCGAAAAAACCAAAAGGAAAAAAAAAAAAAAAAAAAAAAAAGAACTACTAGGCAAGCTTCTATGTCCAGAGTGGTGGGATTACAGGCATGCACCACCACACTCGGCTATTTGTGTCCTTTGAAGCACAGAAGTTTGGTTTTGTTTTTAAAGGGGACAGGGCTTAATGTCAATGCTGTAGTTAAAAATGACCTTAAATTCCTGGTCTCTGGCCTCTCTGAACTTTTAGTCTTGTTCTCTGTCTTAATAGTTTATCTACGAAATCATTGCCAAGTCTAATGTTGAGAAGTTCCTCTAGTATTTATTTGTTAGCATTTATGGTTTTAAGCAGTCTCTTTTGATCTTTGATGCACTTTTAATTCCTTGTATTTGAGACTGTGTGTGTATTTGTGATGTCTGTGTGTGCTTCCCTGTTTGTGTGCTACTGGAGATTAATTTCAGATGTCTTCCTCAACCATATTCTACCTTATTTTTTGAGACCAGGTCCATTGCTGAAGCTCACAGGTCCAGTGACACTGGTTGGCCAGGGCCGCTGGGGGCCACCTGTCCCTGCCTCCCCTGCAATGTTACTACAGATGCATGCCATCCTTCTTTTGTGTGGATGCTGGAGAGCTGCCTTCATGTCCTTGTGTTTGTCTACCAAGCCATTTCCCTGGCCATTGAGTTCATTCTTTTTGTATGATGGAAGATAAGGACCCTACCTCACACTTTCATATATGCACATGCAGCATAGCCAAAACCCTTTGCTTTTGAGAAGAGTATTCTTTTCTCATTAAGTTGTCTTGGCACTTTAGTTAAAAAATTATCTAACCACACACATTAGGGTTAATTTTTGCGCTGTTTATGCTACCTATACTAACTACTTTCTGTGGGAGATTTTTCTTTCTGTCCATCGATTACTTTTTTTCTGATAAAATTTTTTTTGAATATTTGGGAATTTCACACCATGCACCCTGATCACACTCACTTCCCAGTCTTCCCAGATATGCCCCCTACCTTTATGACATTCTCCTCCCCCCAAAAAGGATAAAACAAAACAAAAATTGGAGCATGGTCAAATTCCCAGTACCTGGCCCCTTAAAGAAAACTGAGTTCAGGCCAGGTAGTGCTGGCACATACATTTAATCCCAGTGCTCAGGAGTCAGAGGCAGGCAGGTCTCTGTGAGTTCAAGGCCAGCCTGGTCTACAGAGAGAGTTTCAGGGCAGACTCCAAAGCTACAGAGAAACCCTGTCTCAAAAAACCCAAAACACCCACATTCTGGTCAGAAGCCCTCCGTTGTGGAGAGCTTCACTTCAGCATCCTTACCATACTTTTTTGGTTCTCTTCCATGTCTTCCTGTCTAGGCTGTTGCTTTTTGGGGGAGGTGGAGATGGGGTGTGAGTAGGGGTTGCCACAGAAGCCTCCTTCTCATCTGTGATTCTGCAGTTGTTAGTACTGCAAAAGTAGCTTTCTTGCTCTTTACAATCAGTGAGAGCACAGACTGTGGACTTCTACATGAGTTCTGATAAACAGTATGGACCACAAACATCCATCCACACGGTCTTCTGGCCTCAGCCAGTGCCACAGACTTCAGCATGGTCTTTAGTGGCAGTACAAACCACAGATATCAATACAACCCTCTGCTACAGCACAGGCCACAGACTTCATCATAGCCCTTGGTGGCAGCATGGCTCAAAACTTCAACATGATCTTCAGGGCAAAATAGGTCAAGGACCCTAATATGGTCTCTGGCAGCAGCCTATGGATATTAATATGACCTCAGATGGCAGCGTAGGCCACCCACATCAACACAAACCCCCCCAGCATCATGGCCCAAGGGCATCAATATGTTTTCATGAGGCAGGACAGACCATGGCACTTGTAGGTGACGTATCACAGACATCAATAGGGTCTCCGGCCTCAGCAGGACCATGGACCCCAACATGGCACTCTACTGCAGTACAGGCCATTCATGTTGGCATGGCCTCTGTCAGCAACCCAGACCACAGACACTAATATGGCCTCCTGCAGTACCATAGACTACAGATGTTCTCCTGGCCTCCAGTGGGAGCAAGGACCTTGGAAATCCACACAGCCTCAAGTGACAGACCAGACCACGGACATCCACATGAACCTCGGGCTTCAACATGGCCTGGGGCATCGGCTGTGGATACCAACACAGCCTGCAGGGGCAGCATGGACCATAGAGGTCTTTCAAGAGGTCCAATCCAGAAATGAACCCTTCTTCATCTCAGATATCCTGCTACTGCTTAGAACCAGCGTGATGATGTGGCTGGGCACAGTGTTCTGGCCCTGCTCAGCAAGGATATGGCACCTCCCTCATGCCTCTAGTTCTGTCTCTCTCCACCTCCCACTCACCACTCCATTCCTCCATCTTTCCCACCTCTCCGAATACTCATTCATTGTGGTTGGAGACTGCAGTGTCACACACGCACACACACACTTACTCAAACAGCTTTACATCAAATATTCATGCCAGTGAGCCTTTGATCTGGTTCAAGATTTCTGGTTTCTGCATCACTGAACCAAATATTGGACCACTGCTGGGAGTTGTCTCCAACATCCTGCTCTTGCCCAGAGTCAGGGTGATGTTGCAGTTAGGCAAGGCATCCTGGTGAAGGTTCCCTGCAACTTCCTGGTTGCCACATACCTCCCTGCCCTCAATGTCTGCCAAGACAGGCCTGTCCGGCTCAAGCTTGTGTCTGTAGCAGCTGCATTTCCCTGAGGAGCGTGGGCTGCAGCCACACCAGCTATGTGCTAAGGTTTGGCTGGTGGGCTGGGACCAGTCCTATTCAGCAATGACATGTTTCCAAGGGAGCTCCAGGCTGCTGCTGGAGCTCTGACCCCTGTGCCAGCTGCTGGGTACACAACTGCCCCAGGCTTTCCGTCTCCCAGCAGAGTGAACAGCACATGCTGGAGTCCAGGAGGCTGGCGGGCCTAGGCCACCCTAATCGGCATTGATTTGTTCCTACAGCATGACTCTTGTGCTTGCAGCCTGCTGGCTGAGACACCTTGGTGAAGGATATAGATTTGCTGTGCATGACTATCTCTGTTCTGCCATCTTTCTTTCCAATTTCATGAGTCCACTTTTTAAATGCATCTTCCCACAAGACTTGCCTTTGTTTGTTTGTTTTAGGTTGCTCTGGAGCTACTGCGGGCTCTGTGGACACAGCCGCACCACTCTGCAGAGCCTCCATGGGTCTCTCAGGCT